CTCATTTAATTTCAGGACATGTGCTTTGCTGGTTCAGTTCAGGGTTCATGCATCCAGTCTAAGCAGTGATGGGACAGTGCACCCAGGTAACCACTGGTCTTTAATACTCTTCACTAGCGTCTTTGTAGGGGTTTTGTTGCTGTAAAGAGACACCATGATTATAGCAACTCTTATGAAGGAAAACATTTAACTGGGGCTGGCTTAAAGTTTCAGAGGTTTAGTCCATTTTTGTCATAGTGGGAAGCATGACAGCTTGCAGACAGACCTGGTGTTGGAGTAAGAGCTAAGAGTTCTACATCTGGATCCACATGCAGCAGGAAGAAACTGTGACACACCAGCCAGGCTTGAGCATCTGAGACCTTAAGGCCCACCCCCAGGGACACACTTCCTCCAGCAAGGCCACACCTCCTGATAGTGCCACTCCCTATGAACTTATGGAGATATTTTCTTTCAAACCATCACAACTAGCTTCTTCCTGTGTTCTGCTTTGGGTACTTTCTGTAGTTCTTGGAGGGGAGAAATCTCATGACTTTTGATAGCCAATGAGTTTCTAGGAAAAATATGTACTTCTAGGCCAGCCTTTAACCTTTGGTATGAGATTGCAGAAGCTCTCTTTCCTTTTACTAGGCTAACTAGAAAACTTCTAGACAATTCCTGCTCTGTCAGTGTAGATCTTGGAGTTGAAGATGAACCAGAGCATCAAAAAGAAAGTAAAATTCCATCCTATTAGCCACTGGCACACTTTCCCTGTGACATAGGAGACTCTGTGTTGCCGAGTAGAATATACTCATCTGTCTTAGAGAAAACACTTAAGCCCCAATGTGCCACCTTTTCTCCTGACATGTTTTAATTTCCTCTGTGGCTGATCATGTAACTTCACCCTGATGTCAGTGGCAAGTTTTTACACCATTGTGAATAATCATATTTCTATGCACATTGAATATCAAGAGGCAATTGGGGTCAGTTGCATTTTAGCATTTTATGCGTTTTTAAACTCATGCCTCTGTTCCTCATCAGCAGGGTAAGAAGGGGAGATGAAAAGTGTAAACAGGAGGGTAAAGGTAGTACCTGGGACCTTTGGTGACTCAGATGGAGGCTGAGAGTCAACCAGGTGCTGGCCTTTTTTCTTTTTCAAAAAGGTAAGAGTCTACTGTACAAAACAATCCTGTAATCTGAAATAAACTCAGAGGTCTTAATGATGGTTTCAACACTCAAATCCTTAATCTTTGTCTTAGTTAGGTTTTCTGTTGCTGTGAAGAGAAACCATGGTCACGGCAACTCTGATAAAAGAAAAACATTTCACTGGGGTGGCTTACATTTTCAGAGGTTTAGTCCATTATCATCATGGTGCAACATGGTGGTGTGCAGGCATGGACATGGTGCTGGAGATGAAGCTGAGAGTCCTACATCTTGACTTGCAGGCAACAGGCAGTGGTCTGTGTCACTGGGAGTAGCTTGAGCAGAGGAAATCTCAGAGTCCACATCCACATTTCCTCCAACAAGGCCACACCTCCTAATAGTGCCACTCCTCTTGGGGACCATTTTCTTTCAAACCACTACAATGTTCTATTTCACAAACATTCTAAGGGAACAAATGTCATGAGTTAGAGGAAAATAGGATAATGAAATCACATAGACCTGGAGTCAAATCCCAACACTCTATTGACCAGTTGTGGGATTTAGAAGAAGCACCTTAATTCTTCTATCTTGCTCCAACTGCTGTAGGCATAGGAGTGGGAGGATACTGCTATAATAGATAATTAAATGAAGCACTGTCCGCTTAGACGGCTTAGCACACGGGAGGGTTGTTTTGGCACACCTGATAGGCGCTCAGTAAATGATAAGAGTTGCTTGGATCATCACTACAACTAGGGAAATCGGTGACATGCAAGCACCTCTAAGGTAGAAAAGTCATTTTAGAAAGAAACAAGAGCAGCATTTGTTTGATGCAATGTTGGCATCGGAGCAGGCAGCGCAGCAATACAATTTTCTACAGTGAAATTTCTTGTTCCAGCCAGAGGGTGGGAAACAGAATGGAGCTGTGGTGGCTCTACCGTCACATGCAGAACAAGACACGGCTTTTAAACACAAAGGTGGAGACAGGCTGGTAGAGAGATGAAGGCATGCAGAATTTGTAGACAGACAGGACTTGGTTTGAGCCCCAGCCTTTCCTCTCCCAGCTGTATAATAGAGGAGAAAGATGCTCTTGACACTCATTCCTCATCTATAGGAAGCTATTCATAGTGGGGCGCATCCCCCAGCGGAGCTGACTGGGCTCTTGCGTTAAGAATAGCTTACCTGGAGTAGGTACTTGAGGAGGTCTGAGGTGTGCACTGGTCGCTTCCCTGAGCCCATAAACTGGGCTCCTAGGACTGCCTCAGTGAAATGGGTGATATACTTGAGTCACAGAGAGGTAAGGGAGGGCCCACATCTGGCCAGTGGTGGAGCTAGCCTTGAATCTGGAACGTTCCCAAAGGCTAAGCCTTTCACCACTGGACTGCACAGCTTGGGGTGGCAGAAGGACACCAGGGCAGGTATTCTGAACACAGGTCTGCTAAAGTGCCCTGCTCCCCTCCCTGACACGAAAACCCCATTGCCTCTCTGCTGTAGCTGCTGCGCATCAATCATCAGGATGTCATCAAAGTCACTTCCCCTCAGAAGCCTTCTCCTATCTCCTCAGCCTGCAACAGGCACCTGGACATTGCTTTGGCTCAAAAGCATTGACTCCTCATAGGGGCCCACCCTGGAGATGAGGACAGTTATCTGTGGTGGATCATCTTGTAGGAACCAACATGACAGATGACAGCAATTAACAGCTAACTTCTTATCAGACCACCCACCGTGCAGGACCAGGACCGGAGAATGATGGGGCCGCCCAAACCTTGACTAGGAATGTTTAATTACTCAGACTTCTTGCCCCCCCACCCCCGCCCCGCTCCAGTCTTTTCTCCATTTAAAAGCTCCTATCAGTACCCTAAAGACAAAGACAGGAACATGGGGGCACTGCATCCCTTTATCTATTACTCTTCCTAATGCACATTGATTAAATCCCCTTTCTCGTCAACATTCTTTGTCTCTTTAATTGGAATCCTGGGATAGATTGCTGGCACTAGCCTGTTGAGGCTGCAGGATGGAGCCTGGGCTCTTGTCCTAAAACTTGGGTTGCTAGCCCACTCAGTTCGCTTCTTTGGAAACCCTATGGCACTAACTTAAATGCCTCAAATGTCTGCTACTCAGATCTATTGCTATTTAAGGGAGGTTAAGGTCTTTGAGTCAACACCATTATAAATATTCAACAGGGAACACACCAATTTGCTATTATGAATGCCCCCTCCTCGTCAATATGCAGAGGGAAAGGCTCATTCCAACCAAAGCAGTATGTTCAGTTGACAGGGCACATAACAGAAAGTTCAGTGACATCTGTAACTAGTGGGTATTTCTGTTGTTTTAGGAACACTCCTGGGCTGGACTTCATGGAGGCTGTGATAGGTTACTTTTGACACTTTCAAAGTTCCAAAGGTGACATAAGGAGGTGCTGGCTCTCTGTCATGGCTGTTCCTCATAGTTCTCTTGAGAATCATATCTGTATAATACCTACCTCACACTAGTTGTTAGTGACTGGACCTGGGCAACAAGTATGGTTAGTGGCCTCCCCGGGGTTCTTGCATCCAAGATTAGGGAATAACATGCCTAAAGACCATGTTTCCAGGTCCTATCAAACTTGGTGATAGCCTGGTATAAGTATAAGTGATTTCAAAGTTTGTGTGTGTGTATGTGTGTGTGTGTGTGTGTGTGTGTGTGTGTGTGTGTGTGTGTGTATGAGTGAGTCATGTCTGCCAGCTATAACAAAACAGCTGACTGGGAATGGGGTGGGATGGGGTGAGTTTAACCAACAAAAATATATTCCTCACAGCTTCCAGAAGCTGGCATTCCAAGATCAAGGTGCTGGCTGACTTGGGTCTTAGTAAAGCTCTTTTCTCATTGGTCAGCTGTCTTCTTGGTGTCTTCACATGGGGTATTCACCCTTCCAGATGTATGCTAACAGCTTCCTGCTCTTTCCGGGTTCTGGGCACCTCATTATTTCCTGTCTGTTACCTTAAACCAGGATTTCTCAGTGTCAACACCAGACATTTGGTTGCTCAGGGCACTGTAGGATGTTTAACAGCATGCCCGGGCTGTGTTCACCATGTGCCATATGTCACCTAGATCCACAGCACAGGGCATGTAATTATGAATCATAATAATATGTGAAGCTTGGCCTTCACTTTAAAAATTAAAATGTTATTTCATGATCATTAAGTGCACATTCATTATGAAGACTTAAGGGATGATAGAAGTCATGAAAGTATTTCTTGAATACACCTTCTATATTTTGCTGCATTTTTCAGATGTAACTTTTAATATTAGTTTAATATTATTTTTATATAATTTTAATAATAGAGCTATGTGATACTGCAGTGTTTCAGGTAGCCCAAAGATGTCAAAGATCACAGTGTCATGCAGTTCAGTGTAATAGCCCTTCTATTCTAACGTTGCTCAAGAAAAACAGGTGTTCACATGTTAAATGTCATCTTATTTTTCTTTGCCCTGTTTTGTGTTTTGTTTTGTTTTTCTCATTTTCTTTTGCTTTAGGGTCTCACGCTGCGGGGAAGAATTGCCTAGGATTCGTTAAGTAGGCTGAGTGACCTTTGAACTTATGATGATCCTCTTGCCTCAGCCTCCCTGAGGGCCAGGGTCCTAGGTATGTGTCACTGTTCTTGCCTAAACATCATTTTAAATCATAACTATTACTATTTCCCTTTTTTTCTTTTAACTTTTTTATTAAGAAATTTTTTATTCATTTTACATAACAACTACAGATCCCCCTCTCTTCCTTCCTCGTGTCCCTCAGTCTTGCCCCCCTCAACCCATTCCCCATTCCCTCCTCCAACAAGGTAAGGCTTCCCATGGGGAGTTAGGAGAGACTGGTACATTCAGTTGAGGGAGGCCCAAGCCCCTCCCCCTGCATCAAGGCTGTGCAAGGTGTCCCACCATAGGTAATGGGATCCAAAAAGCCAGCTCATGAACCAGGGATGGATCCTGATCCTAGTACCAGGGGGTCCTTAAGCAGATCAAGCTATGCTTATACAGAGGGCCCATTCTAGTCCCATGGAAGCTCTACAGCTGTTGGTCTAAAATTCATAAGTTCTCACTAGCTTGGTTTGGTTGTCTCTGTAGGTTTTCCCATCATGATGTTGATGTCATTTCCTCATAGAATCCTCTTCTCTCTCTTCAACTGGACTCCTGGAGCTCAGCCTGCTGCTTGGCTGTGGATCTCTGCATCAGCTTCCATCAGTGACTGGATGAAGGCTCTATGATGACAGTTAGGGTATTCACCCAATCTGATTACTGGGGTAGGCCAGCTCAGGCATCCTCTCCACTATTGCTGGTAGTCTAACCTGGGTTCATCCTTGTGGATTCCTGGGAACTTCCCTAGCACCTGGTTTTACCCTAGCCCCATGATGTCTTCCTCTATTATGGTATCTCTTTCATTGCTCTCCCACTCCATCCCTGTTCTATCTCCACCATCCTGTTCCCTTGTTCTCATCCCCCATCCCCTACCCGCTTGCTGCAAGCTGCAGGACAACAAAATGGAATTCAGCTACTTTCACAAAAGCTACTACTTGGAGAAGTCAAGTCTCTAAAGGTCAAGCCATGGCTTAAGAAGTCTTGGTGATATTTTAGCTTTTGTATATATATTAGTTGGTTCCTACGGTGATTTTCTTGTAATCGTATGTGTGCTTCCAAGAACTCCTAACAGTGTATTTATCTAAAATACCTATCAAGCACCCAAGGCCAAATGAAACAACACCTGTCTCCTAGGTCAGGAGGATAGCTTTATTTCTTGTGCAATTTAGGGTGAGACCCTCCTTCCTTACATCCTTACTAATAGACTCCTAATTTCTTACCTAGCCACTTCTAGAAATGTAGATTAAGCACATAAATTCCCTTCTTGATATACTAACTGATCATTAGCTCTCTATTGACCTCCTCCTTTACCACTCCCCTTTTAGGTTATAAAAGAAATCCAGGTGGTCACTGCCTGAGGAAAATTCTTACCTGCCTTTATGACCCTGTAAGAATTCAAGCCTGGTGACCTTGCTCTGCAAGAAGATTGCTATGGCTTGTCCTGAGAGACTTACAGAGAACTGAGAGAATAAAGAGACTGAAAGGAGGAGAGAAAGAGGGAAAAAAGAGAACAGAAGAACTAGATAGGTAAGAACAAGATGAGAGAGAAGGAGATGGGAGAGGAGCTAAGATGGGAAGAAACTAGATGGATGAGAACCTAGATGGGGCAGAACTAAGATGAGAGAATTAAGATAGAACTTAGAGGGGACAGCAGATAAATACAGAGAGAATTAAACAGAAAGGAACTAGGCTTAAGTACAGAACTAAAGCTGTGTAGATAGGATTTTATCCCAGAGGAATAAAGAAGATGGACAAAGAGTTTGATGTACTTAGATTCATTTCCCGAGAATAGTTCTCGCTGTTTGTAGTTTCTCTTCTGAGTCCCTGGGAAGTATATTATTAAGGTTAATCCTTTTAATATTAAGCAAGACCCTCTATTGCCCCCCTTACTCCCAGTTTACTCATGGAGATCTCATCTATTTCCCCTTCCCAGGGCAATTCATACATCCCTCTTAGGGTCCTCCTTGCTACAGAGAAACTAGGTAACAAGGAGGACCCCATTACTATTTTCTTAACCACGAACATCCTTTGGGGACAATGTCCTTCCAATTCCTATTTCACTTTATTTTAAAGTCAACAAAGTATTCTTTTACTTTGTTAGTGAAAAAAATAATTATTTAGATTCTCCTTGTTAAAAATTTTTACATTTTATTGCCATTTGCAAACTGTGATGAAATCAACACCCATCACACATTTACACAGTTTGACAGACTGGGGCCCTACAGCAGAGCTGGGTTGAGACGATCAGAGAGTCTGTGCATTTGAGATCCCAACAGACCTACCAATCTTTACTGCCCAGCCAAAGTGGCTGAGAATGCCAGTTTCCTCAAACCCCAGCAGCACTAGACATTGTCTGGCCTTTAACATGAAAGAAGATAGCTCATTATAGTTTTAATTTGCATTTCCATAAATACCAGTGAGGGTGGGCATGTACTCCTATGTTCATTGAATGTTGCCTTTCTTCTGCAGATTGTTTATTAGATTACAAACTTATTTCTCTGCAGAGATGTTTGTCTTTCTCATATCAATTTGTAGAAGCTTCTTGTAGATTCTAGATGCATATCCTTGATTTATCATCCAGGTTGAAGATATTGTTCACCACCTATCTTTTTAACTTTGCAGTAGCTTCCATCATCCCAAAGCTATATTTTTTATGAGATGACATCTGTCAACTATCTCCTTAATGGTTGAATGGTTACTTAGCATGACTTCCAGAATGCTAGAGCACTGTACCTAAGATGCTCTCAAGTCTGAGTCTCAATACTCTCTTGAACTGAGGATATTGGTTACATTGGGAAAGTAAAGCGCTTTTCCTCTACTCTCACTGTGCAGTAACCAACACAGAAGTCTTTGATGACTTCAAAAGGTACAGAGATCCCTCCCTGCAACATCCATTCTGCAACAGACACCCACTGAGTATCCTGTAATCCAATTCTCTACTGCTACTACCTACCTTCATATCATCAATCTGATGGGCCAAGGACTCAGTCTCTAAGACTCTGCCTCCAGACTTTAGATGCCAGTTCCAAACCCCAGGTTGTTTCATCTGCACTGACACAGCAACTCCAAACAGAGATTCCCACAAACTCTTCCTCAGGTTTCAATGATACACTAGACTGACTCATAGATAGATGTCAAGGGAACACATTTATACCACATACTGGCAAGTCTAGGGCTCTAGTTCAGTTGGTAGAGTGCATGCATAGCTGCACTGAACTCTAACCAGTTCAGTTCCCAGGGCTGCATAATCCAGATACGCTGGTGCATATCAGAAATCCTAGCACCTGGGAGGTGGAGGTGTAAGGGGTTCAAAATCATCCTCTGCTATGTCAAGGACAGCCTGGGCTAGCTACATGAGATCCTGTCTCAAAACAGAAACAAACAAACAAACAAACAAACAAAAACTCTGAAAGTACAGAGAGAGAAGTGAATAGGGAGAGGTGTTCAGGAAGGGACTTGGAGCATTCATGGCCTCCAGGGGACCTCTACATTATTAGCTATGCAGAAGCCCTTTAAGTTCTAATGGATGCTTTATTGTATAGGTATGGGTGATCACACACCCCCTTCCCTAAAGGCTGGGGAGTAGGGCTAAAAATACTCTTTAATTTTGTTGAAGTCTTTTGGGGACCCATCTAAAAGCTACCAAGGGGCTCTCCGCCATCAGTCAACTCATTAGCATATAAAAAGATGCCATCATTTTGGAGATTTCAAAGATTTCTCGGGTTGTATGCTAGAAAACCAGACAAATACCAAATATATGTATTTCATAACATCACATCTGTGTTTTATTTTTCTCCTCTCATATTAATGGGGTATTCTTTTGCTCAAGAAAACAAAGTTTACACTTGCATAAAACCCAAACCCAGAATATCTGTATTTGTTCACTCCAGCTGAAAACAAGAAAAAATGGAAGCTTCTTGTCTCAAAGCAGACAGCTGAATCAGCACGCACATAGAGTCCTCCATTAACACAAAGTTTTTAATAAGGAAAGATGAATAGATAGTGTGAGTGAAGTGTGTGGAACAGGTTTATTTCTTCAAAAGCAAGTTCTTTATACTGTGTGTCCTGTGGTGACCCTTCCAATGAGCAGTTGTCTACAGTCTGTGAGTAGAATGCTACCATTTTTTATTGTTCTTGTAAATCATGGAGCTATATCATACCAACAATAGATAACTTTTCAAAACTCACACAGAGGATAAATGGCAAATCAGGATTGGTACCCGGGTATTCTAACACCAAGTCAACCCTTTCCATGATATGTAATGTGTTTACAGAGTCAAAGAGTGTGAGCATTGATGTGTGTGTGTGTGTGTGTGTGTGTGTGTGTGTGTGTGTATACTTCTTGGTCTCTATATCTAAGTCTCTACGTATAGATCTGTGTGTGTGTGTGTGTCTGTGTGTGTGTGTGTGTGTGTGCGCGCGCGCGCGCGTGCACATGCATATGTTTGTGTTTGTATATTTTTCTGTTTCTCTGCATGCTTGTTTTTCTCTGTCCATGAGTATTCACATGCTCATGTGGTACGGGCTTCTGTACTTTTCTATAAGTATATACATTTGAATCTGCCTGTGAATCTTGGAAGAGAAGAGGAGGGGACATTGGTGTGGCAAAGTGTGCAGTGATTTTTGAAGGGAAGTGGCAAAGTGGGTATGCATGTGCTTGTCTGAAAACAATTTATGATTTTTATGTAAGGAATGATCACATATTTTTTTTAATTTTAGCCAATGTATTTAGGAAATGGGACTTCTAGTTCAAATCTTGGCCACCATTCTTTGGTTTCCTTGTCTATGTCTCCCAGTGTTCCTCAAGCATTCCAGATCAAATGTGTGCTCAGTAGAGCAGGGCTAACAATCTACAAGTGGGAACTGCTTTATATTTATAAATACAGGCAAGTCTGGAGGAGCCAATGAACTAGTAAGCTAATGAGGTGGGTTTCTGTTGCCTGGGGACATAAGTGAGGTCATTCTATTTGCTTTAAGGGAATTGGGATTTACAAGACTATCATGCTAATATGTATCTGACATGGTCAGTTTTGGTGCTGTGATCCCACTTGGTTATAGGGAAAGTATAGTGTTTCTGATGTTAGTATAGGTCTGCTGGTCATCCATCTGCAGAAAAAGATATTATATCACAGAATTACCCAGAGGGCCAGCAAAGCCCAACCATATCTTCATGTGTGAGATTATCCCATGGAGCTTAGCCATCTACAGAGAATGAGAATGGGTGAGCAAGATGGAGCTAGGGAGGAAGCACAAAGCATACACTTCTCATGTGTTAGCTCAAGGCCTTGCCTTGTGTCATGGCTCCTGGCCTTCAGGACAGACTGATTCTAAAATCATTATCCTCTGCCCTCACTCAGGTAATGTTCCAGCTTAGACTCCCTACATCCTCATTGTGGCTCTGGTCCCTCTGGTACTTTGAGATCTCTCCATGCTTGTTATTCTTACCACAGTTAACCCTCTAGCATGAGCTTTAGATTAGTCTCATCAGTTCTAGGACAGTCACAACTCAATAACAGTGGCCAGCTGTCCTTCAGTATGTTCTGTCTCCCAGCTGCTGTCTGAGGCTTTACAACGTGAGCACATTTAGTACTCCCTAGAAGGAAAAAACACCACTGTCATCCACTTCACAGGTGAAGAAAAAAGTGCAGGATAATAGAACTAAGTTATTAAGGTTATGCCAGTTGCCTGAGGTCTCTCAGCTGATGAGGGACAGAGTTGGCATAGATTTTATGCTGTCTGGCTTCCAGCATGTACTCCCACTAATAAATGTAGTGTCTACATCAGGCTCAAAAACATCAGTTAAGTGAAAGGACAATTGGCTTATTTCATCCTGACAACGATCTCTCAAGATGACACAGTTTCATGAGAAGATGGGCCTGGCGAGGTAAGGAACAGTCTGCCTTCCCACCCAGGTCTGTGCCTTGAAGTCCTTATCGCAGAAATGCATTCATATTACTAACTGACATGGCTCAGACCCAAGAGGAGGGTGAAGAATCTCCATCGAATGAACCTTTGGGAAAGTGACCAGAGGAACAGGCTAATGCCACAGGAGTGGTGAGGACCCCAGCCAGGCTAAGGTCTGTTTCCTATCTTCACCTTTTAGAAGACTTCACCTATATTCTCTCCCTCTCTTCCTCTCATAGAATATTAAATCCTGGGCGTTCTCATGTGGGTGGGGGAGGGGATTTCTCCTTAAGAGCTGCTTGAAGGAATAAGATAATGGTGCCAGAAAAAGCAGTGGAGTTGGGCTCAAGTTCTAGTTCCCTGCCCAGGACTGTTGTGAGAATTAAAGTGGTTAATTCACAGAAAGCTCTTAAGACAATTTGTAGCATAGGCAAGTAACTCAAATACTGCTCTTGTTCTTTTATATGTATGTGTAGCACTTGGACAGAGCAATAGACAAGGAGCCAGGGCCCCAGAGTTCCAGTCCCATCTCTTTCACCTAAGCATGTGACATTCTGCTTTAAAATTGGGAGGTGTACTATTCATGATTCAGATAACCAAGAAGATGGACAGATGGGTTGGGGCATGAGTAGATGGATGGAGAGATACTTTGATTGATCGATTGAAAGATATTATAGGAACTGAGTCATACCATTGTAGAAGGTGAAAAGTCCTGTACCCTGGCAGGGTAGGCTAGCAGATAGGAGACACAGGATAGAGTTGATTCAGTTTGAACCTGAAGACAGTTTGCCAAAAGAATCCCTAGTCCTGAGGAGGTCCGGCTGTTTCCTTTAAGACTGTCAACAGCTTTAGTGAGGCCCACCCACATGATGAGACCTTACTCAAAGTTTACTGATTTAAATGTTAATATAGTTCTAAAAAGACCCTCATAAAAACATCTAGAATAATATCTGGCCAAATATCTGGGTGCAAAATATATATTCAATTAACTACCATAAAGAGGAACTTAGCATCAAAAGCATTTATAGGGAGGGGGAGACAAGATCATTGGGACTTGCTGGCTGCCATCAATGAGAAACTCTGCCCCAAGGGAATAATGTGGAGAGAAAAAAGAGCAGGGTATTAGATGTCATCGTTTGTCCTGCACACAAGTGCCCAGGCACACACCTGCATATTTGTGCTCGTTTCTACATATACATCACATTCACACATATACAAAAAAGCATTTGTTGTGTGTATATTGTCTTCTATTAATGTAGTTCTTATTATTCATATACTTTTGAACACTAGATTCTCCTTTCACTATTAAGAATCCCTGTCTTGTAGATTGCCAATCATTGCTGTACATGACAGGGTCTCACGAAGTAGCTATCCTAGGCTGGTCTTGAACTTGGCAATTCCTTTTGCCTAAGTCTTCCACCTGCTGGCAGTACAGATGAGTGGCACCAAATCCAGGGACAAATATTTTAAAAGATTCAAAGGAAAGATAGATATTGGAACATGACAAGCTCTTTTCTGACAGCAGTTTGGCAGAATACTTTGTGTGTCTTTTGAAGTATCAGTTCTATTTTCTCCTTTACCATTCTTAAGAATAACTTTGCGTGCAAGCAAAAAGGCAAGTGCCAGGCTGCTCATTATAGCATTGTAAGGAAATGAAAACCTGGAAATAGCCAAACCATTACCGGCAGAGAAAAACAAGCAACTGGCAAAACATTAAAGAGACATTGACAGCTGTCAAAATTAATGTATGATCTGCAAAAACAATCTGCTTAGAATTCTAGGACATACAGATATATTAACGATGATAAAAAAAAAAGTCACTTGCTTAAAAATCCCAATTTCCAGGTATACTTTAGACTATAAATACAAAAATAATTAAATGGAACCTGTCATCCTGATAATAACGGTTGCCTCTAGATCAGTGGTTCTCAACCTTCCTAATGCTGTGACCCTTTAATACAGTTCTTCAACTATAAGATCATTTTTGTTGCTACTTCATAGCTGTAATTTTTCTACTATTATTAACTATAATGTAAATATCTGATATGTCTGATTATCTAGTATGAAACCCCTGTGAAAGGGTCATGACCTACAGGCTGAAAAATCACTGCTCTAGAGGGACCAGTGTTTAATCTGTAACATTCGAATCTTGTTTTATAATAAAGTGCTGGTAAGTTGCCACCTAATTCACATTTAATGTTGAAAGCTATAAATTTACAAAATATTCTTTAATTTCAAGTATTAGAGACTGGTCATGAGCCCTGATGTGTTACCTACAGGCATTAAAAGGATCATTATTGCAGAGTTTATGCAGCATTTCCAATTGAAATTTATACTGAAAAGTTAAATACTAGGTATGTACACAGTTTAATCTACCACATAGAACATCTAATCTCATGGCAGAAAGTGACTGTATTTTATGTGAAGTCAAATCCTGGTGATTTGATAAGAATTTTCTCCTAGTTTGGATACTATAAATAGATACGAGGCCTAATTTTAACTCCCAAGATAGGAACTTGAAAAGCAAAGATATATTACTCTTTTCTAAAATGTTAACTGTGTTACAAAGCAATCCCGGATATAGCAGGCACCATTCCTTAGAACTGCACAATATTAACCAAAGAAAAGCAAAGGCAATATTGCCATGATCTAATAAACACAGTTGCCATAAAAGAGCTAGCAAACAAGTGGAAATATTTCTCTGTAATTTCATTAAAGAAATGAAAGGGTCCTCTAGGCAACCAAAGACTGGAAATTATTTTTTGGTGCTTTTATTACACTGATCAATAACACATGTGCCTTTTATGAGATAGACCCTTGCTTTAGAGAGAAAATACAGCAGACATGATAATAAAATGACTTTACATCTACTTTGATTCTTACATATAAGTTTAAGCTACCTTTGCCTGGGTAAGGAAAAAGGAAAAAAGAATTTCAAACAGCTCTCCTCATCACCAAGGTCACCTCTCTTAAGCCAGCCAGCTAGACACCTGGCCCATTGACAAGAACACAGGTCTAAGAGCAAGGAAGTTCCTCTCAATCAGGATGTGGTTTCCTTGGCGTTTTTATGATGTTGATGTATATCTCTCTCTTCTCCCCTCCCCTTCCTCCATCCCATCCAGTTTTTTGAGTCTGGGATCCCTTTTATAACTGCCCTTTTAACACATTTTCATGTGAGTTCTTAAACTTGCTGGCTTTGGGCTATGCCGCTCTTGAAGCAGCTATACTGGTACTTGAATCATGGGTGGGCCACTTACCATCTATCTCCTTGACACTGAGAAAACCATTACTCCATGGAGACAGGCTGAGACTCTGAAACAAAGGAAAGAGACTTGTTATGAACAAAGGAGGACACTTGTCATTCCTACAAACCCCCTCTGAGGAAGCGGATCTTACAATCTGTCCTCTACTTTCTGTTACTGGTAAAGAATAGGGAGACGTAACGTCTGAATGCATTGGAAGTTTCTGCAGAGAGATGGCCGTAGGGGGTGAAACAGCATCAGAGTTAAGCTCTTAGCCAATCACGAGTTAATGTGGCTCAAAGGTGCTGAATGGGTGAGGCAGAGTCTCAGGAGGAAACCCGCCATTTCCCAATCCTGTTTGAACCGTAGCTTTGAAGACAGCATGCAAACAACAAAGCCCTTGGGGTCGGCCTCCATCTCTTGGGGCCTGACATTTCTCTCATTGTACCATGGGAGAAACAAAATATAGTTTTAGGTCCAGTGGGATGGCTGCCTCTTTTGATGGGCTCTGAGGAACTCCTTCAGCATGCAGCTTAATCAAATGGTGGAAACCAGGATATAAGGGGAAAGGCTGGAATTTTGTGGCTTTATACTTTTTACTTATTATTTTCAATTCTATTATTTGATTTAAAAGGCCAAAGCAAAATGCTAGTTTTATTAATTTGAAATTTCCACAGCATAAAATGGAAATGCTAATAACTATACTGCCATTATATATTAATCAGACAAAATATAAAGCCAATGATTTATATGTAACCACTAAAAAAAATGCTTGACAGTAGGTAAGAAGGCAAATTACTGAATGTGTGACCATGAAACCCATATCATTATCTCAAAGTTACGTATTAATAACAAGATGAAGAAAACAATATTATTCAAAAAACTTTGTACAAATTGAAAGACTCTATCAAAACTCTGGAAGGTTGCAAATGGAATATAACTTAAAAATTCGATTGACCCTGACCAACAGACTCTCAGACTGGTGTCACAGCTCACGCCTGCCTTGGTATAGAATGTCCCAGCCGCTGATAAATGGGAGGCGCTAGTGAAAAATTATAAACTGACACCCAGCGTTTTCCCCCAGCTGACCCTTCTCACGTCATTTGTTTCTGTGTTTTATTAACGTTGAAGGTAGTGCTGGAGAAACTTCCTTGTCACCATTGGCTTTCTGCATCTGAGACACCAGTTATAGATTAGCGTCAGAGACAGCATCACCAGCTTGCCTTTGACTCCTCCAGCTTTGGCGTCGGTGGATGAGGTACCTAATGCAGAGTTAGCAGCATCCGTTTCACCCCTGGCATGTTTATATTCTGCTTTTCAGAAAGTCTTTGAGCTGGAGTAAGAAATATTCTCTGCTCTAGGAGCTTGCCTTTATCGATTGTCATTTTCATTCTCCTCTGGAGGGTTATAGAGGTGTGGAAGAATGCTTTCTAAATGAGTATAGTTTTATTGGATTTGAAATTTTAATGTCATGAATAACTCTGGGTATATCTCAAGTCGTAAAAGATTCAGAACTCAGATATTTTTTCAGTGTTGATCCCATAGAAAATCCATGTATTTTTGTACTTAAAAAGAATATTGTGAAATTATTTCTGTAAATAATATAAAGATCATAGTATTGTGCATTTGCTAGTAACGAACACATCCAACTGGTTTCTTTTTTATAAAGTTCCTATACATTTCAGAGTCAGTTCATGAAAATGTGAGCTAAACACGAGACATAGGGAGAACATACTTGTCTTCCAAGCATGCAGAACCCTCCTGCTGTGTGGACACAAAATTCTCCTACTATGTGGATACAGAACCCTTCAGCTATGTGGACACAGAACCCTCCTGCTCTGTGGACACAGACCCTTCTGCTATGTGGACCCAGACCCTTCTGCTATGTGGACACAGACCATTCTGCTATATGGACACAGAACTCTCCTGCTATGTGGACACAGAACCCTCCTGCTATATGAACACAGGACTCTCTTGCTGTGTGGACACAGACTCTTTTGCTATGTGGACACAAAGAGAATTGTTAGGAGTGTGGGAAGAGCCAACCTTTCCACAGTCAAAGCCAAGAAAACATCAAAGTCCCTGTCTACTTTAGACTCATGGCCAGAGCTGAAATGCACACAGCCACCCAGCCAGTTTTGGAGGCTAAGAAGCTTGCACACATCAGCACAGTTTAAGCCAGCCTGGGAGTCCCCGGGATGCTACCCTGCTGTTCACAGCATGAACCTAGGCAGCTCATCTCTGTGTAGTCCAGATAACATGTAAATGAAGTTTGAAGGCCAGCTGGGTCTACTCAGAGACTAAGGAGATGGGGCGGGGCTTTGTAAGGTGCTCCCCACAAAGGTGCTCCTCACATGGCCTGTGTCTGTTCCTTTGATCTGTAAGGAAATGTTAAGTTTTGCATGAAGAAAATAATCCACTTTCTTCATTTCGTTTACCTGCTCAGAACTTGTAAGCACCACGACCTGAGTGTGCTAGCCTAAGACTCAGTTTCCAGTGGATTCTGGGCATAGAGGGCAGGTCCAGAATATCCTGCATTGTGAGAACCATGCTGTTGTGCAGAATTTCTGATGGCCTGGGAGGCCAGGGGCTTTGCTTTTTCAGTAGATCAAATAAAAAACAGATGGAGAGAGAAAGTTCAGGACCAAGGGGCCCTGGTAATTCTCCATGACATGTTTTCTTCTGAGAGGCTGGAGCCTGTCCATAGCTGTACACCTCCCTGGAGCTATAACATGCTTTCTGACTTTACACCTCTGTAAATGTCTCTTTCTAGGTTGAGCTGTTAATGACTTATATGTCTAAAACTGTAGTATGAAATGAAATTAAAAAAATAGAACCCATATGCAATTTCATTCAATAAACATTTGGGTATCTTTTTATTTCAGGCATTGTATTAAAACCTGGTGTATAAAGATGAATAAAATAAAAACCAAATATAAAAGGAGCTCATCCTTGCAGGAGAGGAAATATTTACATAGCAATTACTGGGAGAGAGAAATGGCCAGACTTTAGATATAAAAGGGAGTCAGACAAGGTGTTAGACTCGTTCCACAGGAAGATGACCCAAGCTGAGTCCTGCAAGATAATCAAGACCTTATCAAAATGACCTGGGAAAAGTCATTTAGACAGAAGAATTAATAGGGGCAAAGTTTCGAGGCTAAGAAAACCCTGGCTGTGTTTAGGAAACAGTGGGTAGCAACAAAGGTTCCTATGTAATTTGAACAGATAATGAAAGATTTAGTGTCTTAGTTAGGGTTTCTATTGCAGTGAAGTGATACCATAACCACAGCAACTCTTATAAAGGTAAAACATTGAATTGGAGTGTTTTATATTTTCAGAGATGTAGTCCATTGTCATCAAGGTGCAACATGGTGACATGCAGGCAGACATAGTGCTGGAGAAAGATCTGAGAATCCTACGTCTTGACCCACAGACAACAGGAAGTGGTCTGAACGTCACACTGAGTGAAGCTTGAACAAAGGAGACCTCAAAACCCACCCCCACAGTGACACACTCCAACAAGGCCACACTTAACTCCAACAAAGCCACACCTCCTAACAGTGCCACTCCCTATAGGCTCAGGGGGGGCAATTACATTCAAACCACTTCACCAGGGATAAGGCTGGCAAGTGGAGAGGAACTCAGCTGCCAAGTGCCATGTCTGCCAGGCTAAAGGAAGAAGGCCATCGTGAGATTCCAAGGGAAGGAGGGAAGTAATAGCTTGTTCTAGAAAGTTCACTTATGTGGATGTGCAAAAACAGATGCATGTCAGAAGCAAGTGTTACAGACACAGAGAGGAAGGAGGAGATGGCATCATCGTTGGGATGCTTAAGGGGGTGCCACCCTAAGGAAAGCTGTGCTTTTATTTCTTAAGATAGAGGAGCTTTGAGTCTGTTTATGACTGAAGTTCGGTTGCTGTGATGGCCAATCACAACCTTTTGCTTGACTGGAATGAGGAGCACCTGGAAGATGAGTTGCCCTTTTATGGGTGTGCCTGAAGGGTATTTCCAGAGGCAATTAACTAAGAGGAAATGCTTTCCCTGAATGTGTGTGGCACCATCCCATAGGCTGAGGACTCAGATGGAAAATAAATAAATGAAAGGAGGAGACACATGTATACTCCCAGGCTTTCTCTCTGTGTAGATGAAATCCTAAACGGTCTTATTAAATGAGAAACACAGAGCCAAATAAATAGTTAAAAGCCCAGAGATCAGAGCAGTAGCCAAGAGCTGAGACCACCTTATCTTACCACTCGCTGCTGTCCTTCCCCTGAGAGAGAGACCTTCTTCCTGTGTCCTGTCTTTTTATTGCCTTTCTGTTCTGCCTTCTCATTGGCTATAAACCCAATCACATGATTTCCTCATCACTGCCTGTCTATACAGACCTTCAGGTCTCTATGGTTAGTACTGAGAGGTCACTGCTTGGCTGTGTCCTTGAACACATAGAGATTTTGCCAGCCATGTGATCAGATTAAGGGCGTGCACCACACATGCCAGACTGCTTCTAAATGGCTTGCTCTTAGTTCTGATCTCCAGGCAACTTCATTTATTAATATACAAATAAAATCACATTTTAGCACAAATAAAATATCACCATATCTCTCTGTTTCCTGGTTGCCCCAAGATGAGTGACTCCCAGATCACACTCTAGTTGCCACAATGGCCTTCATCATCATAGTCCCATAGCAATGGAGACAGCTGACTGTGAGCCAAAGTCCATCTTTCCCTCTTTTAAGGTATCCTCTCAGATATTTTTCCTAGCAATGTGTAAACTAAGACAATTACCACTGGAAATGGGGAGATTGATTGGCTCAAGACAGGAGGGGATCATCAATGAAGATTTTTACCCATGGGTTCACATGCTGAGTTTCTTTTAAGTAACTACCTATAGTGTGTTAGTATTTGTGTGTTTGTAAAAGAAAACACTGAAGAGTTACTGTCATTGTATGACAATAAGGAATGTGATTGAAAGGAGAGCAGATGTCAGCAGAGAAACGCCTTCATTTCAAAAGCTGAGCATCTCTCTCATCTCTAATAACCTCATTAAAAAAACAGCCATCAATTCTATTTTGTGTGTATATATGTATCCCATTTGCATCATCTAGTTCCATAGGTGATAATTCTTGGGTTCTTTGGTGTTCCCAAAGCTAGAGTTTTCTTGAATATCAGAGATTCATTTGAAAGTCAAGATTCCTTTCAGAGGTATTTATAGGTGATTGTATAGTATAGGACTTGTA